GCATGTGATCATCTTCTGTTCTATTAGTTTAGAAGTCGTGCTAGCCATGAGACTCCGGCCTGTCCACACTCCTTTTAGAACTCGTTAGAGACGTCGTCTGGCAGTTCTTGGTCTTCATTATGGCGATGCGGACTTCCTCTTGCGTGATTACGGGTACCGGTCTATGCACAAGGTCGGCTGCAGTCGTCGTCGACGCATATTCGTGGTCGTGGATGCCATCTCTGCGAAGTGTGTTCTCCATCTCTCGTTTATCTCTTGTGGCATTCTCAGCACTTTTCTCTGCTCGTCTTTGATGTTGTAGAAGTGCTCCATGTCTTTTGTAGCGTTTGTTCTTCTTCTTGCGATGTCTCCATAGAGCTGATGTCTCGATTTCAAAATGATTAGCTGCTGTACGATTATAGTGAAAGGCGCGTCTGTGAGGATAAGGGCCACCATATCAGTAAATTTCAGTGAATTATTTCTGATATTGGTGAAGAGTTCACGGTGTCATTGTTCAAAATTGTGTGTCATCAGCAGAGAGTTTTCAATGATTAGGTACTTGAAACGAAGTTTACATCGAAGCATGTGTTTTCGTCCAGACAAAGCCTAGGTTTTTTTATTAGTCAAGAATGCTCATATTGGGGTAGGTTTATTTTAAAATGATGTTTTAAGATTACCGTCAGGCTTAGCCAAAAAGCTCCATAAATCGCGCGGTTAAAACATAACCATTTCATAGTATTGATGTAGTCTTCCCAAAAAAGCTCCAACTCCAAAATCTGCGCCCGCGAGGGGGCATTCCGGCTGTTTTGGTCGCTTTTTGGCGAAGTCCGAGGGACGAAGATTTTTTCTGCGTGGAACTTTTGGATAGTACTCAAACTCATAACCATTCCAGCAGTATGCTGCCGTAGTGAAAATTTATGAAAATTTGTGAGTCGAACGGAATGCCAAAGACATCAGCTGCAACTACACATACAATCTCCGTCTTGAACGTTCGTATTGCAATAGTTTGAAGCTGATTTACTGCGGAGTAGAAGGACAGAAATTCCAAGCATTTAGTTTTTTTCAGATCATCACCGAATTCGTGAAACTGTGCTTATAACTCTTCGAACTTATAGAATCACTACTGGCTACTCTACCCCATCAGGCCAGTGTCATGATTGGCATTTACGTGGGAAAAACAAATTTGAAGCATCTGTTTGTTTTTAATCTATCCATCCTTCCCATCCTTCGCAAACTCTAATTTACTCCCTTCGTGCTTTCCTTTTTCTTTTACCTGCAGAATGAGATTTAGTCACTTTAGCAGTTACGTTCTGTAATTGCACCACTTTACATCCGCAGTGCACCACTGCGGTGGCGATATATCGAGCAAAAGAGCTACAATAAGGATGAATTGTTAACAAATAATCTAAAAAATAGAAATTTGTCGTGCCTGCACAAATCCAGTGTCTATCAAATTATGCACTTATACACTGACTGTGAATCCACTCCAAGTGAGCGCATATCTTCGCTCCGCCCTGTTCAACAGCCGCATCCTCCTCATTGCAAGTGAAAATGAGGTTTACTCTCATTGTTTATACCAACATGTGCAAGTTTGATAGCCGCTGAAAAAAATTCATTTTTATTGCAAGGTGTTCATAATCGACAGAAAGATTGAAAAAATCGCCACAAAAATTAGTTTATCGTGTGCGCAGGGATTGAAAATATATGTGTGCGAAATTTGGCGCTTCTTCGTTCACTCATGAAGATTTCTATTCGACACATACTTCACGCTCACAAAGTTGGAGTTTCATATATGTATCAGTGGCGTATCAGTGGCAATAATTAACATAATTTTTAAATTTTCAAAAATTCAATTTAGCCCTGTAAAAAAAATTTAAGGGGGCGTGGTGTTACCACGCCCTTTTTTTCTAGAATTTCAGGGTTATGGGCCCGCGAAATTTTTGAGAAGCATACCAAAAAATTTTTCTCGGTGCGTGGCTGACGCCACGCACCTTCATCAGAAAAAAAATTTTTGTCGCTCCTCTCCCCTCCCCGAGCCGAAATCCTGGGTACATCACTGATAGGTATCTATCATGACTTATAATAAAGCGCTAAACGTCTGTTTTTTTGTGCGTGTGTGTATGTCTGTCTGTCACGAAATTCATGGGTCGAGTTCTAGCAAATGTCTCGAGCTGATTTTTTGCACAAATTATGCTCCTAGCATGTAAGTTCTCTATGCACAACGGCGAGCCGATCCAGTAAACGCAACCTTCATAAATTGAGCGTCACATGGATCCACCCGGCTTCTAAACTGCAGTACTGGATCGGCGTTCACACCTTTGCGAAGCCGCCGATTTTGTTGCAAAGTAGATGTGCAAACCATAATTTCTAGCTCAAGAAATAATCTAAAAATCTATGCTTTGCGAAAACGGCGCCAAAAAGTAATGATCGCGTAAGTCGCTAATTTGCCAAGGTTTTACCTAGAATACTGAGAAGATTTTTGCACATGAATGTAGCTCAAAATGACTATGATCTTTATGACAATAGTGAAGCCAAAATAATTCCGGAAGTCCTTTCAAACTTGCATTTGTTCCCTTGCAAAAATTTTTTTTCTCAAAATCACCGATCTTACATGGAGACGCCTCAAGAATGAACAGTTGTTTACAACTCATTTGTGGTGTCCAGCGTCGCGCGTTTTAGTCGAGTTTTAAAGTCATCATTATGCGAGCACGAGAAAGGCATACGGACAGCAGGGCCAGTGCGAACCTCCGCAGCGGAGGTGACGCGCTGATATAGAAATAAAAGCGTAATCTGATGCAGTAGATGTTTTGCCAAGCCCAGATTAGTATGGTGAATCTTTATTGACCTAACGTTTCGAAAAGGTCGTCTTCTTCGGAGGTCTGAAAGATGATTGCAGTCTTAACCTATGAAACTTAGCGTACAAAGAGACATGCTAGCAGAAGAGACCGAACGTTGATCCATCGTGATGAGGATGTTAGCCGCAGGAAGTAGCGGACGATAGCCGCAGGAATGCTGACGACGGGCGACACTGAGTGTCACTCGGTGTGTTACGTCTATATATACGGCAGACTACTGTTCACATAGTGAGAGAAAGGGCAGAAGATCGCATGTCATCGATGGGCACATTCTTGTTCATGCTTGGGCTATTTATAGAGATCCACAAATTCTAGTATCTTTCGTGCAGAAATTTCTGTCTCGTGCGCCAAGATAAAACGTTTGACCTCAAAATCAGTTCCGCCATGTGCTTCAGCTCTGTGTTTTCCCAACGGCGATACTAAATTCCCTCGTCTTTTGTTTGCTAAGTGCTCTTTGACCCTGATGTCCAATGCTCTGCCCGTTTACCTATATAGAAAGCCTTGCAACTCAAACATTCTAGTTGATATATGACCCCTGAAATTGCGCAGTCTCCTACCTTTCCATATGGGCAAACAATGCACTGCTATTCTGTATCATATAACCTGTTTCGCACCAACTGCTTCCTGATGTTATCGTTCGGGATGTTTAGCAGTACAACCTACTCCACTCTACCACTCTACCTCATTTTGCAGTTGTGCTCGCGCAATGCACTGTTTCAGAGCTGCACTCATTTCATCGAAGATGAATGGTATGCAAAGTGAGACTCTCTCGTAGGTACGTGCAGTTCGACTACATAAACCAAATCGTGGACGTCCACTGTTATTCAAATCTGCGTAGCCGTTGTTGCGCCCAATTGTTGTAGCCAATCTAGTAAATGCAAGTCGTCTTCTACGCCAGTGCTAACTTCTACACTTGTTCTGTACATGTTCTTAATAATCGCACGTTTCATCGCTGTAGGGTGCGCTGATTTTGCATGTATGATGATTGAGCTTACTTTCCTGTACCACTTCATCCGAATCCTACCACCAGATAAGTTTTTGGGTGTTCAGAAAAGAAAGCCATCCATCGGTCAGGGTTTTCCCGGTAAAACCTAATGTACTGTGATTGCTGGTTCAAAAATGCGAAACATTCGTCTATTTCGAACTGAGTCGAAAATCACGCAGCAATCGTCGATATAACGACAGTACATCATGGGCAAGCGTGCAAGTACTGGCTCCTCTATCTTACTCAAAAACAAATCGCAAAGGCTGGAGACAATCGTTGACCCATAGCCAGCCCCCTGATCTGAGAATAGTAATTCCCAGACCATTTAAAGATGTTACATTTTAGACACTCCTTGATGAGGGTCAGCATGCTCGCTTTGCTAAGTCCAAAGGTGACCATATCGTTGTAGTGAAGTTCCAACATCTCTGACATTGCTTGAAGTGCGGCATCGTTCTGAACATCTGTGTACAATGATGTTATGTCAAAAGACTCGATAACACCGTAAAGTTCGATGTTCGCATCCCGCAACTTTTGCATGAACTGTCGAGTATTGGATGGATGCGATGGTACCTTTGGTAATAGCTGGTTTATGATCTTATTGAGAGAACATGATAATCTGTCGGTGGGGCCGCTAACAAACTTATTATACGGCGTATCATATAGGGGTGACAAGAATATGAAGAAAGTCCTCAATTTCTTGAGGAATAGATCCCTTTTTTAAGGAGATAGTGAAGCAGAAATTTATGAATGAAATAGAACAATTGATTAGGACGCTTAAAGAGTTTGCTAGAAGCAGCATCCAAAACCCATTCATCTATTGCAGAGAGGCACATCGTCGACATTATGGTTTACGCCTAGTTGATAACTACAAGTTTTGAAGAAGATTTATCTGCAGCAACCGAAAATGCAAAAAATCGGAATTTTTGCGAACCGCAAGCTTATATGAGACAAAACTAGTTCTTATAGGGATTTCGAACATTGTTTCTCGCATTTAAAGACCCTGACTAAAGTCAGAGAACATTGGAAGCAGCTCAAAAAATTTCTGTTTCTATTTTGCAGTTGCTTAAACAGCATCATAACACAAGAGAAGGCCATAGAGTTTCCTATTTCTACAGACTCCTATCAAACAACAGATTGACCAGAGATGCCCTGAGATGAGTCAGAATAAATCAGAGGTCTTCTCATTTCTTCATAAGGATCTCCTCGTCTAGAATATCTTGCTCCTCCTTCGTCAGTTTTCGCCGCGTTTTCAACAGTTCAGCTATAAGCACTTCCTTTTTGATCTGCATTTCGAGCTCTCGCATTGTCTCGTCGGGGTTTTCGAAGGCCTAAGGGATGTTTATAAATTGCTGACAGAATATGAGAAACCGCAAACCTTGTCCTCCACCGGTCTCCTTGCTTTGACCAACTGATACTCGCCAACTTTCGCGTCTGATTTCCACTCAATCTAAACTACCTCCATTTGCTCAAAGCATATAAAAGGCTATTTCGTATACGCTACACTATGTACAGCACCACATATACTGCCAAAAGTCAAGTGATCTATGTTAAAAAGTGTTTCTGCATGAAATTGTACCTATTCGTAGTCATGATTTATCGCACCCGAAATTCTATCAACACTATACGTAAAAGATCAAGGACGCCCGAAGAGCTTGCGGTTTTCTCCTTCATAGAACCGACGCAGAACTTTTTGTGTTGCAGTTTCAGCGCAAAGAAGGATTTGCTCAAAAGCTTCTTCTAAAAGGTGCTAGCGCTCAGAGGTACATAATAGTCTATCCTCACATTACCTTTACATTAACAACCCCGGCAGGTTCAAGGCACGTCATATAGCGCATGGGATCCCACTGAGATTCTTCGAGCAACCCCCATTGTGATAGCCTTTTCAGTCTAAATCAAGTTTGTAGAACAAAGATAGCTTTTTGGATATATACCGCACCTTTCAAATTGCATTTCGCAAACTATCGTTCCACCAGGTCTTAAAACCCGCCAAAGCTCTCTACACACTTCATTCATCACATTTTGGTGTATAAAATAAAAGAGATCCACGCGAAAGATATGTTCAAAAATACCGGATGGGTAGGGCAGATTGCGTAGGTCTGGAGCCTAAACTTGTGAATGGATCAACTCATTACATTCAGTGACACAAGCAATAAAGAAAAAACTGAGCTGACATGGTCAAGTCTAATTTTTCCTGTTTCAGCGATTTCCAATGCAAATCGGTGCAGGGCACAATCATAACTTATAATTACGGGCTAAGGCTGTTTACGTGTTTTTGTGTGTGCATGTGTGTATGTCTGTGTGTCTGTCTGTAACGAAATTCGTAAAGCGTGTTCCAGCCAACGTCCTGAGCCCAAATTTTGCACATCGCATGCGACCAACATAAGAGCCTACAATGCATAAGCACGAGTGGTTTTGTTGGTTGGATCTTTCAGAAACTGCGCGTCAAACGGAACCACTTGGGTTTTGGCCAGCAAAATTGCTTCCGTATCACCACTTTTTGCAAAGTTGGTGATGTGTTTGGCATGTTGATGTGCAAGCCTTGGACTTAAGTCCAAAAAAGTGGACAAAAGTCCACTACTTTAGGAGAACGACGCCAAAAAGAAATGGTGAATGATTAATTTGCCGTGGTTTTACCTGAGCATTCGAGAAAAATTTTGCACAGAGATGTCGCTCACTTTGCCTACTGTCCTACCAAGCCAAAAAGAGTCCAAAAACCTATTCAAATTTGTATTTGTTCTTCTGCGAAAAGTTTCATCCACGCGAAATCACCGATCTCACATGAAAAAGCATTTTAAATGCTCAGACATTCGCAGTTGTCACCCGCAGGTGGACCGCCCACAAAATGGCTGATCGCACCAAAACCCGGTGCATCGGCGGGAGACATGAATTTAGTTTTACCCGGATTTTACCGCGATTTTGCCCCGATTTGCGGATTTCGAAATACCGTCAGCTCCATTTATCGCTTTCCTCTTGGTTTTGTTGGTCGACGGTTAATCTCCTGTCACCTCTTTTTGCTCGAAACGTGATGTATCTCCGCCATTTTGATATAATATTAGTCAAAAGTACAGGTATTCGGGATATTGTCATTGCAGGGCCCACCGGCCGATGAAGAACATTCACGATGGGCGTACTCGTATGATGGTGACAATGATTACGTTGAAGCCGTAGATAATGAAGAGGAACCATCAGTAAAGTTTCTCACATTCAGCTTCCAATGTCGCCGTCTGAAAGGAAATGAGGAAATATCTGACGACGATGAAGAGGCTGAAATGAGCTGGATGAAATCAGTGGAGGAAGAAGTGCGTAGCTGACAAGATGGTGGGCTTTTTTTTTTTGAACTATCAAATTCATTTTGCGAAGATCATGATTACACATTTTTAGAGACTTGAAATGGATTGTCTTCCGATACTAAGGATGGAACACGGTTACTACCTTTGGTAGACTACATTCTCATTTTGACCAAGGTGATTCAAAGCAATTGTACATAGACTGTGCTACGCATATTTATCTGCCATCAAATTTTCGAAGCTATCATAACACAAGTTGCTGTCGCAGATCTCAGGTCTGGAAGGGTTTGTAGAGAAGAATGGTGTTGAAAAAGTACATGTAATTCAGTGAGAATATTGAGTGGCTCAATTATGCTTTTAGATTCTTTCGCTATGCAGTCTACCCTCTCTTGCAGCAGATTTGGCTGCGAGCACATTCTTCACTAGTGTCGGTAGTATTGTCAAATTCGTTTTGGTGAGTGTCCAATTTTTTCAGAAGTGGTGTTCGCAACACTGACATCAGTTTTCTATCGGCTATCCAACACTCTTTCGATAGTAGAAACACGCAAAATCTGGAGACAAACTCATGCTTGCAATCGTGGAGGTATTCTTGCAATCTAAATCCAGTCCCAATCCCAATCGAGTCTGAGATGCTTGGCTGACTGATACTGGTAAGAGGCTACATGTAGGATTCCGCAAGTGTTCAGTGTGACTCTCATTATCAAGATAAAATAGTCGCTATTTACTTTTGATACTAGTTCTGATTTAGAAACAATCGCTGCACAAGATTCAGTTTCTGAACACTATCTTTCTAGGTGGCTCGAGTATTGTCTTGGGACGTATTCAACACGGATGTGCCTGCTTACTATCTTGATGCTGACCGAGCAACTCTCCTGGCGTCAAAGGTAAAACTTTCATCTTTAAAAGTCTACGCTCTTAATGCTGATGTTTCTCAGAAGAAGCGCATATGACATCTACCATGAGCACTGACTTGAACGTTATCGAAAAAACGGAATCTGCCAACATTGCAGTCGAGGAAACGGATGCGAACGATACATATTAGTGAAATTCCAGTGTTTTTGTGAAGTGTTTTTTCGATGTAGTTTATTTAATTTTGCGCTGCTGTATTTTCCCTACCATGAAGTTTCGAATAAATACTAAAGCATGATTTGTAAGTGACAGTGAAAGAAGATAGCATGGTAAAAGTGAAACATACAAGTATAGAGTATGTACTATATATTTGTATGTTCCACTAATATGTATACTTACGCTATATATACAGGGTGTCCCAAAAGTAAGTACACACTTTTCAATCGTTAATATCTTTCTTCCCATTGTGTCTTTTTCCACCAATTAAGTACCATTCTGTAGATGAAGCTTCAGCTTAGATTTGCAGTATCGAGCGAATCATCGATCGCTCTTCGTTACTGTAGGACTACTGTAGGAACTTCGACAAGGATTTTAGGCCATTGGAAGCCATATTCTGCTTCGGAACAGAATTAAACAAGCCAAAAACTCTTGTTTCATAGTAATGGAAGCCGCTGATTTCGAATATAAAGTTTCTACTTTACTGTGATGCTTATTTCCAAAGTTATCCCAGGTAAACCGTTATAACTAAATTTTCAGTGTTTGTCAAAAATGCGATTTTACCGTCAAAAAAGCTGAAAACAATTGTGAAAAGTTGTGTAGTGGAATCAGCGTGCGCGAAAACCCTGGTAAGACGACTTTTTAGATTTTTTGAAAAATTTTTGTCAGATGGCATGTTTCACAAAAGTTCCACATGCTGAAAGTTCTTACCGTAATCCTACAGTAACGAAGGGCGATCGCTGATTCATTCAATACTGTAAATCTAAGTTGAAGCCTCCTCTACAGAATGGTACTTGAGTGTTAAAAAAAGACTCATTGGGAAGAGAGATATTGACGATTGAAAAGTGTGT